CCCTGTCACTCACAGAGTAGGGCCGATAGGGGAGTTGGGGCACTGCCCCCTGTCACACACAGAGCAGGGCGGATCAGGGGGTTGGGGCGCTGCACCCTGTCACACTCAGGGCAGGGCCAATGGGGAGGTTATGGCTCTACCCTGTCACACACAGAGCAAGGCCCGTGGAGGGGGGTTGGGGCGCCACCCTCTATCACCCACAGAGCAGGGCCGATCAGGGGGTTGGGGCGCTGCACCCTGTCAAACACAGAGCCGCAGGGCAATCAGGGGATTGGGCATCTCCCCTCTATCAGGTACAGAGCAGGGCTGATCAGGGGGTTGGGGCGCCTTCCCCTGTCACGAACAGAGCAGGGCAGATAGGGAGGTTGTGGCCCCGCCACCTGTCACACACAGAGCTGCAGGGCGATCAGGGGGTTGGGGAGCTCCCCCCTGTCAAACACAGAGCCGCAGGGCAATCAGGGGATTGGGGAGCTCCCCCCTATCAGGCACAGAGCAGGGCTGATCAGGGGGTTGGGGCGCCTTCCCCTGTCATGAACAGAGCAGGGCGGATAGGGAGGTTGTGGCCCCGCCCCCTGTCACACACAGAGCCGCAGAGCGATCAGGGGGTTTGGGCGCTGCCCCCTGTCACGGTGATCCCAGTGCCAGGAGCCTCACTGCTCCGCTGATCCCGGTGCCGGGAGGCATATTACCCTTTTACTATATAGAATAGAGGCCTGGTGCATGGGTAGGGGCTGGCTGGTTTGCCCTGAAGGGTGTCTTGGATCAGGGTGGGGGTCCCCACTGGGGTGCCTGGCCAGTCTGGGTGAGGGGCTGAGGGCTGTTTTCCGGCTGGCGAGTGACTGAAGCTCCCAACCTCTCCTTGTTTTCTTTTCTTTTTTTTTTTTTATTCTGGGCCAGCTTTAGCTCTGAGGCCTCGCTGCTGAAAACATCGATACAATGTTGCGGTCTGGCTGGCTTTCAGTCCGGCTGGTTTCTGGGGTTTTGTTTAGCTTCTTATTTGCAACATAGTACATAGTTGTTTAGAGTTGCAACTCAGAGGCCGGCAACTCAGGCGGGGAACGCTCAAGTCCGCAGTCCCTGGAGCAAGCAAGCCTCATGTTCGCTTCCAGCTGCCTGGCTGCCGGCCGCCATCTTGGCTGACAGTTAATTTGCATAAGGATATGCTGATTAAACAATGGGAAGGGTAGCGGTCGTATGCTAATTACCATGTTTCTCTTTTATTAGTGTAGATTATATAGGATTGCTTTGTTCATTTACTTGCCATTCTAATCGGCATGTTTACATTAAGTGTCCCAATTGTTGTGGATACACAGAAATGTAGTTTAACTTTGACAGTGGGTTTATATATGTAAGCTCTCTCATAATTCTAAACATTTCCCTGATGGTTCTTTTAGATTTCTTTGTAAAAGCCACTGAATTTTTCTTTGGGAACAGCTCACTTGTTCATGTTGGCACTCTGATTTCTGTAGGTGATTTTTGGTTTCCGGTTACATTTGTCAATTAAGTCCAGGCTGACTGGTTGGTAAGCAGGATAGTTTCTTCTGTGAATGCTTGCCCTGTGCACCTGTTGGCTCTACATTCAGTATTTCCCTTCTTATGCTTCAGAGTCACTCCAAGTTCAGATGTGCTTTTCTCTGGCTGCTCTCTCAAACAATTTCCAGCAACAACTCCATTTCTGGATCCTTTGACGCCGTTCTGCTTGCTTTCTATATTGTTACAGGCCTGTTCTTTAAACTTCTTCCCATCAGCTCAACACAGCTAGTAAGGGAAACTCCGAAGGCTCTTCCTCCACTGACCTGCTTGAACCCGAGCCCCTCATACTGTTATTTCTGAGTTACTCTTGATTCCTGAGCATCGCATGCCTGGCCAGTACTCAACATCCGTCAAAGACAGGCCCAAAGGAAACCCGAACAGTCCAACACGGGATCTGACAGCACTGCAGTGATCAAATGTATGGCATGGTTGTGAGGCTGCTGTCTCTGCAATGGGGACTTCACATTTGGGATGTGTTTGTCTTCTTTTCCATTTCTCTGTGACGGCTGGACATTCTGCACATGTGCCCTCTGCCATCTTCGCATCCCAGCATGTGTGCTCCATGTGGACTTAGGCTATTGGGTCCCAGCGTGCATGCTCTGCGTGGACTTAGGCTAGCAGGAAGGGTCCTATTCTCTAGTCTATTCTACACGCAAAGGGCTACTGTGCTGCTTTTATCTGGAACCTGCCACTCACTCTACTGATAGCTTGTATCCACCAGTGATTTTCTTGGTTGATCGTTACATCTGCAAACATTTGTTTTTTCTTTTTGTTGTTTACCTTATTTCTACTTTTTGTCTTGCTGCAATGGCTAGAATAATAATAATTAAACAGCAGTGTTGTTAGCAGATTTCTCTTTCTTCTTCCTGATTATAGTGAGAACTTTTCTAATATTTTATTTAAAATGCTGAATTTATTCAAGACATTTTCTTTACCATTTATACAATATTATTTTATTTATAGTTCACTAATAATTATTTGGAAATCATAACCAATAATCAAGGAGGAACTGAACCTTTAGATCTGGTTTTTATTATAGTGCTGCATTCAAATTGTTTTTTTTTTCTAGTATGTTATGGATTGACAAGAATTCTTTGATGAATAAAAGAAACAAAACAAAATAAAGACAAATATAATTTTGGGCATGAAACCTCAAGGTGAGATAAATTGTTTGTGGTAAGGCTCTTAAGGAGAAGGTCACTGTTAAAACACCAAATTGTTATTTTCTTCTATAGCTCATGTGTCATTCTATAATAAACAAGCAATTTTTGCTCTTAAAAAGCCACTAGAGAGGTGTAATAAAAGCAGTTAAAAATAAGACCAAAAAATCTGTAAGGCTGTAAAAAATTAAAAATATAGAAATGTCATTTCAATCTCTGAGAATGTAATATTTTGCTAATTCTGATGATACTGTGTATATGAGAAGATGAAAATTAGTTGCGTGTCAGTTTTCAAGAGCAGAATCTGAGAAACTCTAAATGTGACTCAATGCACAGACACCATAAACCCACGTGGACTTATACACACCAGGCAACCTGAGGTGCACGCGCGCACACACACACACAAGTGGTACCTGTCTTATCCGTTAGCAGGTACACGAGGCGGCCCAGCTCCTCTGGGATGGTGCTGGTCCGGACGACTGTGCCGGGAATGTTCTCATCCCTCATCATCATCCACCCATATGCTGCTTTACCCATGTCCAAGTTCACACGCAAACTGCCAAATAAAATCATCACATGGTTAGTGTGAATACTAACATGCTCATGATTTCCATCTAAATTTATTTATTTATACACATTATCTTTAACTTTACACGAAATAAGTAACATTGAATTTTAGACTTTGAAATAAGTGAACTTACTGTCTTTTAAGTCAGCAAACCTTTCTACACCCCAGGACATGCCTGTAGGTGACAGTGAAGTAGTTACTCATGCTGTCCTCCAGCGTGATCTGTGACATCGGATGGGAAAGAAAAAGATGGGCTGTTTTAAATGCCTTGGGCAGGCAGGGTGCCAGGCTGTGTCCCACTGGGAATATCTGAAATGGGTCTTGTTTTATAACAAGAACCTATACTCCTTGGCGGCATTATCCCAATCCTAAGCAAGGTTTCTGATGGAGTCACAGATGTTGAGGTCCTTCTAGAATTGCATCAATGACTTCTCAGTGTCTTCCTCAGTTGCAGCAAAAACCTGGGCAAAAGTCATCTTCAGGGAGTAGGCTTTAAAAGCTGTTACAACCCCCTGATCCATTTGATCAAAGAGGTAATGTTTGGAGAAACAGCACTTTGATATTGGGAAGAACATCACCAATAAAAAGAGGATGCCATGAGCATTATTAACAATAAGCAAAATCTTGAAAGCTATGTTCTTCTTCAAACAGTACTTCTCTATTCCACTGGCACAGCAACTCAGGAGGGCATCGTGGAGGAGGAGCTGGATCTCCCGTGACTTCTCATTGTTCCTGCAGGACACTGGCAGCGCGTGTTTATTGACGAGCTTGGAGGCCCTGCGGTTCTCACTATCCCCATTATAAAGGGTTTCAATTTGTAACCTGCAACACTGCCACCAAGCAAGATGGTTATCTCATCCTTAAAAGCCTTGAAACCAGCACTGACTTGGTCCCCTTAGGGATGAAAGTCCTTTCAGGCATTTATTTCCACAATAGTGAAGTTTCAGCCACATTGAATATTTGCTCTGGCAAGTAATATTCCTCCACAATCACCTTATCTAGAGTTTACAAAAATTCTTCAGCTGACTTCACATGAGCACTTACAGGCTCACAACTCACTCTCACATTACAGAATAAATAACAATTCTTGAATAGTTTAAACCACTCACAACTAGCAGTAAATTCAACACAGTAGTCAGGTCCAGCCTTTTCTTTCAAAATTGTTTTGCTTTGGCCGTGGTCGTCATGGTGCTGAGTGGGATATGTGTTTGTGTTTGGTCTTCAATACAGGTCATCAGGCCCTAGCCGGTTTGGCTCAGTGGACAAATTGTCAGACTGTGGACTGTCAATTCTGGTCAACTGCACGTACCTTGGTTGCAAGCTCCCGGCCCTGGCAACCAATTGATGTGTTTCTTTCACATCGGTGTTACTCTCTGTCTCTCCCTCTCCTTTCCACTCTCTCTAAAAAAAATCAATGGAAAAAATATCCTTGGGTGAGAATTAAAAAAAAAAATACAGGCATCAGAAGTTTCTCCATGTCTGATGGAAGCTCTTTCTGAACTTTTTGTTTTAGAAGGAGAGCAGAGAGACAGAAACATCAATGAGAGAAAAACATTGATTGGCTGCCTCCTGCACACACCTTAGTGGAGATTGAGCCCGCAACCCAGGCATGTGCCCTGACGGGGAACTGAACCAGTGACTTTTGGTGCAACCTTACAATGAAGGTATGTTCTGTGACAACTAAGCTAAAATAAAGACAGTTAGAAAATTCAAATATACTTGTAAATGAAGAAATAACTTTGTAATAACCATGGATCAAAGAAGAAATCACGATGCAAATTAAAAAACATTGTCAAAATATGAAAACTTGTGGGATGCAGCCAAAGCAGTACTCCTATAGAAAGCAATTCATAGCTTCTATTGCATGTATTCAAAAAAGAAAAAGTGCTGAAAACTAGTGAATTAAGCATCTATCACAAGAAGTAAAGATAATAAAAACCAAAGAAGGTAGGAGGAAAGAAATAAAGTATGGTACTATTAATAAAAAAGAAATATATCATATAGCATAGAGGAGGTTTTTCTATAACTACTGAAGCTGACAAACCTATTGGAAGACTGAAAGAAAAAAGGAAAGATAACTAAGTATCAGGAAAGAAAACAATCCTCTCTCTATGGGAGATTATAGGAAAATATTATGAGCAAGCTTTTGTGAATAAATTAGAATACTTAGGTATAGTTGACATGTTTCTTGAAAGCCATAACTTTGGAAAACTGACATGAAAAGAAATAAAAAAATTTGAAATTAAGTTTTGTAACTCTTTAAAGTCAACTATTTAAAAAATATCTACAGAGAAACCAAGATGGCAGCATAGGTAAACACCGGAAATTGCTGCCTCGCACAACCACTTCAAAAACAACTAAAAGACAAAACGGACATCATCCAGAACCACAGGAAGGCTGGCTGAGTGGAAATTCTACAACTAGAAGGAAAGAGAAAAGCACACTGAGACTCAGAGGAGGTGCGGAAGTAAAGTGCAGAGGTACGGAGGCGCATGTGGAAAGGTCTGGCAACTGAGGATGTGGCGCACGTGGACAGGGCTGGCAACTGAGGACACGGTTGTCTTTTTCAATCGGGAGGGAGTCTCAAGCTCCCGACTGCTCTGAACTCCAGTTCCGGGAGAGTCTCTGGGGACCCAGACTCATACAGGGAAAAACTGGACTGTCTGGCAGCGGGTGGAACTCGAGGGCGGCTTTCTCTCAGAGGAGCTTGCAGCGATTACCGGGACACTGAGACTCGGGGCCTCTTAGGGCAGGACTGAGGAGCAGCCATAGCTGCATGCTCCACCCTGTTGATCCCCTGAGACCCTGCCCCACCCAAGCTGTGCACAGAGGCTTTTGCATATGAAAGGCCTGGCCCTTTGCAATCTGAAAATTACCTAACAAACTGCAGCTGGGTCAGAGAGACCCAGAACTTCCAAAAGGAGGCCCAAGGCCCCACAGCAGCTTGCACTGCTTCACAGCTGGGCCTCATCTGGGCACCTCCAAACCCCAAACAAAGAAGAGGAATCTGCAGATCTCTCCATAGCTCCTGCTGGGTAGCCTCAGGCAGAGGCTAAATTAGCACCTCCTTAGAGATCCAAGAGCCAGTGTACCCAGTGTCAGAGTGGGACCATCCATATACAACTCTCAGATCCATAAGGGACATACTCAGGGGCAGACTCAGTGAGC